TATACCAGCAGTATCTGATAAACAGTAGTTGTTTCCCTCAATATCGTCGTTGAAGAATCTTGTCTATGAAGATCTTGTCTTTTGCATTCCTAGATATCGAAGAGCATTGTTCGATTTCATTTGATAGGATTTTTAGAAAAAAATTTGAATTTATTTCAATTAGCTTAATACCAAAAAAATGATAAGAAAAACTACAATTTACACTTATACACTTACTCATCACCAACTGATTTTGTGTTCATTTAAATCAGAGCAATAATGATGCTAGTTGCATACTGCTCCAGTTTGAAAGCTACGTTATGGGAAAATATATGTACCTTATTATACAGGATGGTCATATATACGACCATCCTGTATAATAAGGTACTATATTTTGACAAAAGAAAAACTACTATTAGGTACAGTCTGTACGATATAATTTGTTGCCTTTGTAACTGCAAAACACAGCAAGCTGCTACGGTGATCGCCACGCCATCAATGCCTTTTTAGGTCGGGTGTCGAATGCGGTTAATTCCAAGAAAGTGACGCAGGGGGTCCTTTTGGAATTCTATCTCAACAAATATCGTACGGATCGTAGAGAATATTAGGAATATTGTCCGGGCTATATTATTTTGTTATTATTTTTAAGCTTCGGTAGATATTTTTGAAACACATTTTAAAATTGTGTCTTTAAGTTTTTTTAGAATTTAACCAGCTTTTACTAAATATTTCTAAGATCTACGGTATTTTTTCAACATGAATCAGATATAAACGGGGATTTATTGATACATCAACATCCTCCCGAATCGTTTTCCTTGCGTTTAGAAAAATTTAATCCATGCCACTTAGATAAAGGCATTTTTAGATAGAAAATGTACTTTAGATGCTCACCTAAGTGTAAACAAAATATTATCAGTAATCTTAAATCGTCTGCTATTAAAATCATTATTCTGATATTCACATCGAATGATAACATATAATTTTTTACAACATTGAGATTATTTAAATCCTGAAAATGCTAATTTGGAAGTGATTTATTGGTAGATTTATTAAGTAGTGTCGTTTTTTTGGTATATCGTCAAACTGGGAAATTAGAAAATCAATTGACTCCTATGCGCACGGATGAGACGGAAATTAGTTTCAAAATTTTGGAATCTTGAAAGAAAAATTAAAAAAAATGTAATTAATTTTAGGAAGATGTTTTTTAAATAACAATGTTAATATTGAAAAACCTATGGAAGTGTGCAGGTCTTAGGAAGATGGTGTATACATTTTTTTCTTTATTATATAATTTGAAATATATGTAGGTAGGTATGCTTAAAAGGACCCCGCACAAACCTTATGGATTTCAGGTCCCGGTGGATTTGTCTGGATTTTTAATATTTTGTACTTGATATCCTCCTGATCTAAATTGTCAATGGGCACAAAGTCCAAAAATGGACAGTTTTCGAGATACCGAGGAGCAAAGTCCCTAAAATGAAACATTTCTTGGGACGGATATCCGATTTTGAATCATAATAGATATTTAGGTGCAATATTTTAATGTATATTTGGTCCAATTAACTCCCATAATCCCTGTACCCTAATATATACTGAGATGAAATCAGATTAGTGATAGCAATTTAAAAATTAAATTAAAATTCTATTTAAATACAACGCGGTAAAGAGAATGGTTGAAATGGTTATTATAAAATTAAGAAAAATATTTGATTAAAAAAATTTTGTTAGTATTGAATAAGTATTAGGAATCATTAGAAGAAAGTCGAAATAGTAAAAATTATTATAATTTTGGTCAAATAGAGTACATGCCAAAGATGTTATTAGAAAAACATAATTGAAATTATTTAAAAATCATAAGTGACAGATATCAAACAAAAGATAACATGTCAGAGTTTTATTAAATAGTTATAATATAAGGTAAAATAATAATTAGTAAAAGATATTAAGGTCTAAAGAAAATTTTGTATATCAATAAGATGAATATGTCATATAAATGTCAAAATTAAAGTTGGATCCACAAGGCATAAAATAGTACATATAAAAGTCAAATAAGATTATAGAATATGAAATATTTTGAAATATAATTTAAAATTGATTGTAAATAAACTAGAATAGGGTGTATATGTGCAAAGGATAAAGTGAAGTGATGTGAATTGCAAAAGGAAAACGGCACTTAAAAAGCAAAAGCACATATGTGGAAAGGCCCTAACAAGGGTGAAGAAAATCAAGATAGTAAAAAAAAATAAAATAATTATTGATTAGTTACGAGAAAATTCTGTAAAGAAATAGGTGTTGCAGAAATTGATTGAAAAAAACATAGAAAATAGAAGCAGTTATCGTGAGAAAGTGTATAAAAGAAGAAAATTGAGAAAAACCAAATATATAAAAGTAAAAAGTTTTGGAGAAGTGAGTCAAGATAATACAGTAAGAGCGGAATACCAGCAGGCAGGTTCCAGGAATCCAGAGAGACAGAAAGCGGAATACCAGCAGGCAGGTTCCAGGAATCCAGGGAGAAAGCGGAATATCAGCAGTAGGTTCCAGGAATCCAGAAAGAAAGCGGACGAGCAGGCAGGCTCCAGAAATCCAGCGAGAGAGGAGAGACAGGGATTCAAGAACAACAGTCAAGCAGAGTAAAAGCGAGAAGCCAGTCGACAAGTAATTAAACAATAAGACGTATAAAAATGTACCTTTATTTTCGTTGACATTTGTGCACAAATTAAAATTAAATTTCGTATACGATATAGCTAGCCACATAGACACAAAAGTAAAAACCAAAAAAAGATAGAATACAAAAAGTTCAGAGATTCAAAATTTTTCATATAAACAAATTAATTTAACTATATAAAGCATCATCAAAATTGGCCAATTGTTTGTAAATTTCTAGACATAAATATTAGAAATAAGTAACAACATATTAAACAAGAAGTTATACGATAAAATTTAAATTTCTTATTGCAAGCAACCGATAATACATTAAATCAAGGAAAGTAGCTACATTGAGATAAACTCTTGTTTAAAGTGTTTGAATTATTGTACAAGATTTCAAAATATTTTGCTGTTGTGTTTGACATTTCTTATTTGAAATTTATTGATATATAAAAACAAAATAATAATAAATTAATTTATTAATAACATCCTTTGTTTAGAGTTGTGAGTTGTGTGTGGTTTCATGCTGAATAATAATCTTGAATTGAACCTACTACTGAGAAGAGTCGAGAGCTAGACAGGGCAAAGTTAGACAACCAACATTACACCAAAATCAAATTACACATCACAATAAAAATAAAAATAAAATGAAATTTTGGCGCTTACACAAACACGAATTCACATAATCATAACAAAATATATATACAGGGTGTCCCATTTTAAATTACCCTTGGGTTCGAAGCGGGACATCGGGATGGTGACCTTCTATTTGACCTTGACCATAACCTTTAAGGCCATCTGAAGGTCAAATCTAATTTTTTTAATAGGAACCTCTATTTTACATATCATGTTATAATTTTATAAAGGTACAGATCTTAAAAGAAGTTATATTATTCGTGTTTTTGAGATCTGTTAGTTTTTAAGGAAGCAGTATTGTATCAAAGTAACTTGATCTAAATCGATCTATTTTGATCTAAGGAAGTTCTTTTTGAAGCGAAATGTTGTATTTTCCATTGTACCTTTCCTGTAAAAGAATACAATTACCATAACTAGCTTTTACAATTAGATGAAAAAGTACCTACCTACTCCTGATTGTAAACTGTACAGGATGTTTCCTAAGGAGTCTAGAACATTTCTGAGATTATTTTTAGAAAATAAAACCATACTGACATATCTAAAACGTCATTTTTTTACTGTTTAGTGTTTTTTTTTAAATAAAAAATGTTGAGAAAGATAGAATATTTAATGCCAAGAAATAATTAACGCTTTTGACAATGTAGCTTCAAAACGTCACTTTTTTTAAAAGTTTATATAATATTGTTATATTAATATTTATACAAAGAAGTCTATCTGATGAAGCGATCCTAAGTAAAATATGGAAATAAAAAGATTTCTTCGCAGTTTCTTAGGTGTTAATCTTTGTCAAAGATGGTGAGAGAACAACAAAAATACGAAATTTTCTTGAATTAAGTATTTTTGTATTATCATTTTCAGTTTTCAATTGGGACAATTATTTATTTCTGTTCACTGGGTATTAGGTTATAATTCAATGGGACATGCAACCCATTATGTTGTTTTCCGTAATATTTACAGGCAGGAATCTTTTCTGTGGATTAGATATTTTTTGCCCACGTAGATTTCTGGTATAAAAAAATTGTTTGGCTTCATTTGATAAGATCCTTTAGAAAAAAATGTTAGAATTTGTTTGGATTAGTCTGCCACCTTTAAAATAGAGTAAAAAGAAGAGAGCTAATATTAGAGTATTTTAAAAAAAACCTTTTAATTGATGTAAAAACATGTTTATGAAATTGGAAAATATAATCAGAGCCTTTAGAGCTGTAAACTTATATTGGCTGTAAACAGATCTCTTGTGGTTCCTTATTTACTGATTCTATTTTTCTGTAATGGCGGCCAACCATCATTTCTGGGTCACTCTGAACAAATCGTGAATAAAAAAAAACATAAAACACACCACAGGAATGAATAAGCATTTACGATATTTAGCTTGTAACACCAAATTTCTATTTTACACGTTTGATACGCAAATAACTGTTTAAAGATTTAAAAAAAATCTAATCGTATTCATTCACAACAAAAAATTTTAACCTTGGAGACAACACGAAGCTATTTCCGTTTTGTTTAAATTACTGTTATATAAAATAATAGTTCCTCTGCCTTTTTAAGTTAATAAGTTAAAGTTATTCATAAGTCAATTACTAACAAGACTATCAACGGATATACACTTTTAAATTATATTTATTTAAATGCAAAAACCATCAATTTCGAATTCTTTTTTTTTTAAATAAGTTGTTTAATTAGTGTTTACTCTTAACGTACTGTTGAATTAAAACCATAAAGGAATATTTGGAGGGGTGAAGAAGTTTGAATAAATTAAAATTTGACAGGCATTCATGAATATAGTGAAGATGAAAGCAGCAAGAGAAATATTTTTTATTGTGGGTGTGTGTGTAGCATTAATTAGTGTAAGTTGCATTATCATAACAAGTACATATTAGGATTTTGTTACATGAATAAAAATTGGAAAACTATAGGATAAGTTGATCATTGATTTAATTGAGGTGTAGCAAGTTTAATGCAAAATTTTCATCTCCAGTGTCAACGTCGTTTATATGACAGCTACACCATATTTTTTTTAAAATAGCAAAGGCCATGGTATTATTTAGTATCCATTTAGAGCAGCTTTCATGAATTTGTTCAAAATTTTGTTAAAACCCCTCTAGAAGTTGTGAGCATTTAAATATTTTGATTAAAAAATTTTCAAATACCCGTAAATTGGTAAAAACTAAAGATATCATTTTTTTTTTCATTTTGTTCGTTTTGAGATGCAGTTTTATATAAAAAATATAAAAATAATACATTTTTGTTTTTTGATTTTTAAACCAAAAAAGGGCTTTTTGAAAAAGATAAAAATATTGGCAATTTTTTTTCTTTGAAAAATTCTCAAAATATCGTCTTTCAATACGCAAATTTATGATATCGGTTTTAGAGTGGGATGTTTTTTATTCTATTTTTTTTTCTAATTAAAAAAACTTTTTTGTATTTTCAATATTTACAGATTACTAAAAATACCATATTTTTAAAACTACTTCTACTAATATTGCTATTATTAAATATCTAAATTATTATTAACTAAAAATTATATATTTTTTTTCAATACTACAAAGTTTGTTTTGCATAATGTTATAATATTTGTTAAATTATTGACTATTCGTATTTAGTAAAATCCATTTCTAGAACACTACACGGATCTTATTTTCTGCATTATTCCATTATATTCCCGCCAGTGATCCAAGCATTCTCTTGACGACTACTTTGATACAACAACATTAAAATTTATTGTAATACTATTTCTGTTATTTAAAACAAGTGAACATAACGATCAGTGCACCGATGACTATTTTTTTACAAATACGTGTATGTATATACTTATTTGTAGGGCTGTTAGAACTGAGTTGCAGGACATACAAGTACGCATTATTTATTAAAAAGCAACAAATTAAATTGTCTAAAATACACCACCATAAATACCAACGGATAGGAATTAATTACGCAAACATCAGCACGATAACAAAGGAAACAGTATACTACCGTGTCGTGAACGTGAAAAGCATTCTGAGGCAGCGGCATGTCTCGGTTAACCCGCTTGGCACGTCATCGTCATTAAATTGCGTCTCTTTCTGACAGTCTTACTTATTTGTATACATAGTCATCGCGATTTACGTCGTTCATAAAATTTGGTTTAATAGCGTACATTATCTATAAAAAATTAAAATACAAAGTAATTTTTAATTCGAAAAAAAAATAGAATAAAAAAAGATTCCATCCTAGTCTCATAAATTTGCATATTCAAAAATGATTTTTTTTTAGAATTTTTCGAATAAAAAAAGAGCAACTGTTTTTCAAAAAGCAATTTTTTGGTTTAAAAATCAAAAATCTCAAAAAACAGAAATGTACCTATTATTTGAAAATGGAAAAAAAGTTTATAATATCTTTAATGTTTGTCAACTTACATGTACTTAGCTATTTGAAAATTTTTTGTAAAAAAAATTATCAAACACTCATAACTTCTTGAGAGGTTGAAATGAAAATTTGAAAAAATTCATGAAATCTACTCTAAATGTGTACTAAATATCCCAAATCGGGAAAATTAAAAATGGTCGACCTTGGTGATTGGGAAAGTCGAAAGCTGAAGATACTACACGTGAAATGGTGACGATTGGCGCAAACATGCCTTATCCGAAAGTTGAAAGTTTCGGAAATACAGGGTGTTGAAAGTTAAAATTTTAAATCGTTTTATTTGCGATTATTCTGAAAATATGCAGGTTAGGAACTTGAAAATTTGTGAAATTATATTTTTTTAGGCGACGAATAAGATGCTTGTTGTAATTTCAGCATTGCTCATAGAGGGCGCCGCTTACGACCAATTTTACTGAAAACTTAGTTAATAACTTTTTAGCCTGTATATTTAACATGAAACTTGATTCAAAACCTGAAAGAGCTATCATTTTTCCATTAATTATATACTTCTGTTTCATTTCGGTATCTCGATCCGTTTTCGAGAAAAATCGATTTAACGAACACTATGTTTTGATAATAGGAGAAATTAAAAGCGAAACAAACCAAGTGTTTCTTCGTGTTATTACAACAATTAACAACAAAACAAATAAAATACGTAATTATGATTTAAAGTAATTGTTCGAAGAATCCACCGTTGACACTGATACACTTTACACGTTTTCTGAGAGATCTTCGAGTTTGAAACAACATATTGGGATTGCGTCTGACTTCGTTGGCAGCGATTTGTATTCTTTGCCACAACTCTTCACACGAGCCAATAGATTCTTTGTAAACTATATCTTTCATTCGAGACCAAATAGAAAAATCAAGAGGATTGAAGTCCGGACTTCTGGATGGCCAAGCAAAAATGCTTACATGGCCAATCCAGCGATTTGGAAAAACTGCATCTAAATATGCACGCACTGGCCAAGAAAAATGCGGTGGAGCTCCGTCGTGCATGAACCACATGTCTCTTCTTAAATAAAGTGGAACTTCTTCAAGCCGTGGAAGCATTTTTACTTGGCCACCCAGAAGTCCGGACTTCAATCCTCTTCATTTTTCTATTTGGAAGAATCTATTGGTTCGTGTGAAGAGTTGTGGCAAAGAATACAAATCGCTGCCAACGAAGTCAAACGCAATCCCAATATGTTGTTTCAAACTCGAAGATCTCTCAGAAAACGTTGTGTAAAGTGTGTAAATGTCAACGGTGGATTCTTCGAACACTGACTTTAAATCATTATTACGAATTTCATTTGTTTTATTGTTAATTGTTGTAATAACACGAAGAAACACTTGGTTTGTTTCGCTTTTAATTTCTCGTATTATCAAAACATAGTGTTCGTTAAATCGATTTTTCTCGAAAACGGATCGAGATACCGAAATGAAACAAGAATACACAATTAATGGAAAAATGATTGCTCTTTCAGGTTTTGAATCAAGTTTCATGTTAGACATACAGGGTAAAAAGTTATTAACTAAATTTTCGGTAAAATTGGTCGTAAGTGGCGCCCTCTACGAGCAATGCTGAAATTACAACATGCATCTTATTCGTCGCCTAAAAAAATATAGTTTCACAAATTTTCAAGTTCCTAACCTACATATTTTCAGAATAATCGCAAAAAAAACGATTTAAAATTTTAACTTTCAACACCCTGTATTTCCGAAATTATCAACTTTCGGATAAGGCATGTTTGCGCCAATCGTCACCATTTCACGTGTAGTATCTTCAGCTTTCGATTTTCCCATTGTTAATGAATCACCCTGTATGAACAATGGAAATTACACCACGGTAGATATGCTTTGACGAATTAAAACGACCTACCTAATATTTTTCGTTTTTGTTCAAAGAAATAAAAATGAGTATGTAATGTATACATAGGTTGTTTTCATTTATAGGTGCTGAGGCTAAAGTAAAAAATAAATCAGTTCAGTTATTAGAAAATATTTAAAATACTTATTTGAAAATACTTTTTTAAGTTTTCTGTATAAATATGTAGTCATTTATTTTATTAATTAATTTCAAAGAAAGATAGTTAGTACATGTACTTATAACAATGAACTATGTGTATTTGGCAATTGCTAATACAAATTTTCAGTAATTGTTACCTAAAAAAATTGTAATTTAAGGAAGTATTGCCAGATGTGTACGTGTTCAATGTTTATATTATAGGAGCATACAGTATAGTCGTATTAATGGCCTGTGTACCTATAAATCAGGATATATGGCATGTAATACAAAAGAAACACTTTTTTCTGTATTTTCATGTGCGATTGTAGGTAGGTTCCGCCAGGCTGCACCAGCCTGGTTGGAAGTGAAATGCGGCCTTTAGCCGATAGAGCTGATGAAGTGACATTTTCTTTTGCATAGATATAACATTTTCTTTCTACATTACGACAGTAATAAAGAAAGTACTTAAAAAAATGAATGTCCGTAGCAACTATGGAAACTACAACATAAGTAATAATTTTCTGTGTTTACATATTTTGAATAAATTGACCATAAATACATGATGTAATAGCGATGTTGCGACAAACTGCGTCACTTTCTTGGAATTAACCGCATTCGACACCTGAGGTAGACAGACATTGGCGGGTTCATTGGCGTTCACCATAGTAGCTTGCAGTGCATACTGTGTTTTGCAGTAACGAAGGCGTGTTTCTTCGTAAGTCTATCGTCATGCTCATTTTCAGTGTTCATTTCTTATTAAAATAAATTAATGGAGGTGAAAAATAAAAGAAAGGAATTTAATTCCCAGTTGAATAGTATATACCTATATTTATACATTTTAATATACTGAAAATAACGTGGAAAATTTCAAAGCACGCCTCTGCTGCAGTAAATTGTTACAGATAACAGAACTTTATGGGCTTATTCTCTTCTTAAAATTAATGATATTCATGAAATTTGATCAAAAACTAACCGGTGGCATCGGAGTTTAGGGCGACGGCGACGGAAGGAGTGATCTAAAGAAGAATAAAATATTTTACACAATTAGTTGCTCGTAATTAAATTATCGACAGTAGTAAACTATTTTGCACTAATTTCTAGGCAATCAGAGGAACATAATTATGGAAAAGCCAAACATATTCATCGGCCTTCTGTTCATTCAAGTAAATGAGAACTTTGTTAAATTTCAAATTATTTTATTTTTCATCTATGCTCCGCTGGCAGATAACTTTGTTTTGTCTTTAGACTTTTGATCATTGTACTTTTTATTTGGAAATGGTTTATCGGAATCTGAAAAAGAAAAAACTATTTCATATTAAAATCTTTTTTACGGTTCCTCCTCTTTTAATTTTGACGTTATTGGTTAATTTTTTAATTTTTAAGGTACAGTCCGTACGATATTTGTTGAGATAGAATTCCAATAAGAGAATAAGCCAATAAAGTTCTGTTATCGAACCTACTGTAACAATTTACCGCGGCAGGAACGGGCCTTGAAATTTTCCGCCAATGTCTTTCTACCTCCGGAGCCGAATGCTTAATTCCAAGAAAGCCAGGCAGAGGTAGATGAAAAAACTGGACTGTACCAAGTTTGAGCTCAATATTTTTAATGGTTAATTTTTAATCTCTGAAGAATTGTGTTTTTTTGAAGAGTAATAAGCCGAAAAGTTTGTCACTATGTAGATGTTACACCCTTTATATAGCAGCAAAATAGCGGTTCGTACTCTATGAAATATGTTTCACTAAGAATCTCCTTCAAAATATTGCAAATGGAAACAATATTTAGTATAAATGTTAAAATTAATTAATGTAATTGTGGCTCAAATAAATTATTGTTATGATATTTTGCAGATTCAGCATTTACATATGTTTTCATAATGGGGAAGTACCGTGGCTTATATTTTATGAAGGCTGTATTAGTCCTATAGATAGCACAATATTTCAATCAAATTTCTTTATATATTTAGAAATAAGTTTGTTCATTGAATTAAACAACTTTTATATATAAAATGCAATTTAATAATAATTTTAAACACATTTTGCAAATACACGTAGTAGAAACTACAGGGACATTGTATAGGTAAAGAGGATTAACTTGATGGTCAAACAAGAAACATTTGATTACTCTTATACTATACCTTTGACTGTACTATTAATTTTGCACGACGTTATACAAATATTTTCAAATTTTACACACGTTACCGAAACATAGTATAGTAGAGTATAGTAATGGTTATAAACTATTGGAAACCCATAAAAAATTCTAATCAGATGAAGCCAAAGAATGCTCTTCGATACTAGAAGTCTAGGTATGTAAAAGATATCGGACCCCACAGACAAGACTATTGATATTATGAAAAACAACTAATCTATGGTCTACCGTTCCAACCATCATTGAATTACACCGACAACATCTAGTAAATAGATAGTTATAAATAATTATCCAAAATGAAATAAATTCAAATAATTATTTGTTATACATTAGTAGAAATTGATTTGCTCGTCTTGTGATTGTCTAAAACTATGTGTCAAACCTAACTAAAGACAACGATAAATCTGAAAAACAATATTATGTACTTATACAGGGTGTCTCACGGTGACGGCCCATTATAATAATTATTTCAGAGACTACGATTTGAATTTTGAAAATTTGGGATGCCGGGTTTTCGGGCATGCCCTTATCAACTAAAATAATGGCGTCCACGTACCGGTTATACTGGAAGTCGCCATCAACTTGCTTATTTTAAATGGAACACCCTATATATTATTGCAATTTTGGATTCTACGTGTTATTTTAGGTGGACTTTTATGAAGTTTCCCTATTCCTAAAATTAACCGTTTTCGAGATATTTAATTTTTTTCAAAAAAAAATGGAGAGAAACAGTGCCTAGCTTGTATGTGTATTTTATAGTAAGAAAGATAAAGCAACAATATTTATAGGGGGGATAGCTAGACCCCTAAGCTTTCCATACTTTCAAAGTGGCTTAATTGCATACATGGTGCTAGAAATTTAATGGTTTTTTAAATGAAGCACCCTGTATATTTTTCTTTATTCCGATACACAATTTTATTCTCTTTCGAACGGTATCAGGGTTCTCTATACCTATCTCTTCTAGTTTTTAAGTTATCTACTATTTTTTGTGTAATCACCTAAAATCATGTAATTTATTGCGAGGATAGCTGTGGAATTTTTAGCAAAACTTCAAAATAAACAACTAAACTGTCAATTTGTTGATAGTCTCTTGCAGTGACAGTTTAATTTATTGTTTATAAGAAATGGAAAACAAAATACAAAAAAAATACATATTCGAATGCTGATATTTTAAATTTATTATTCATTCACAGACGTTGCAATGCAGAACATGTACAGTTTTTAATGATCTTTTCAAATGGTGGTATAGTATTTACAGAAAAAAATTATTTTCAAAGTAAAACATAAAAAAGTACCTATTTATAATTCAATTCCATTATCATTCAATTCAGTGTGCCGTATATTTTTTTATTGATATGTCAGATACATCCACAAAATTTTTAAATTTGTGAATTAACAATAAGTGAATTACAACAAAAACAAATATAAACGTTATTCGATATTACAGAAAATGGTCGAAAATAAAAAACCTCATAAACGAATTAAGAAATCGGTTTCCGCAATTTAACTTTTCTTAAAAATCGATTCCGTAACACCTTAATTGCTTTTGTTTATCTTTTCGGGAAATACAGGAAACCCAAATAAAAATGATGATTTCATATATTTTATTTTTATCGTTATGTTTAATTTTCCGTTTACGCTAATTTTGTTAAAAGGTGTAAAATATCAGTATTATAATGAACTGACTATTTTGGAATTATATAGAAAATTTACACCGTTTAAGGGTCACCAGCAAATTCAGATGAGCGGAAATCATAAGATGCGCGTAAAAGCCTATTATTTTCGGTCTGCCATTCGCAGCTGTGTATAATAAACAGAGAAGTATTTAAAAATTTCACTGTTTGGAAATAGTGTTCGACAAAATTCAAAGTTTTTACATGACCAAATATTTTTTAAGTTTTTATAGATGGGAAGATATATAAGTACTTAATTGATGTATATATCAATATTTAAAAAAAATATACGTGTATATGATAAAAACAATATTTTGATGATAATAAAATATATTTCAAAAATAAAATGTTTTTCAACGACTCAGACAATACTTTACGCAATAGTTTTTACAAAGAAATATTTCCGACCATATTTTCTGTACAAGAGAGTTCATGCTGGAATTATACAGGGTGTTTATTAAACATATGGCAAAAATTCAAGAGATTCTTCCCTAGACTATTCTAAGAATGTTTGGTCCTGTGATGTACGTCCTCCAGAAACTGAGGTAGCGTTTGTTCCAAAAAATTGCAATACACCGCGCCGGTAAGTCTTCTTGGTAGAAATACCGGTCTAATTAGCCAGTCACCCCCATAATTCCAACCCAACCCTGAATGCGTTGTATGTGATATGGGTACAACAAATAGTCCCTAAGCATATTCCAAAAAGTCCCATTACTTACATTCAAAGTATTTGCAATTTTTCGAGTAGAAATACATGGATCTACCTGTACCACATCCAACACCTTCTCTTCCACTTCCACCGTTCTCACTATCATTGGCCTTCCTAATCCTCCACTTCGTTTCAATGTGCCTGTTTCATGAAGACGTTGATGAATACTTTGGAAGGTTTTTCTATCAGGAACATTACGAACAGGAAATATTTAGTTCAATGTACAACCGCCCAGCTTTTAATGAACTGCCATCAGCAAGTCAGTAAATCAAATGCATGTCAGTCATCTCGAAAACTGCCAAACGACAGTTAGTTTCAAGATATTCGATACATACAAAATGATCAATCACGATCAATCCATGTTCAAACTTGCCTCCTTTTTTTTCTAAAAAAATATACTCGGTAAACCCAGTGTAGTACGCCATACTTTTATTCCGATTACATTAATAATTTCAAAAATATCAAAATTGGTTTTGTCGAAAATTTTTCTCGCCCTGTATCTTCAGAACAAAACGGCTTTTCGAAAATCACTAAAGGAAAAAATATTCTTAGAATAGTCTAGGGAATAACTCTGAATGTTTGCCGTATGTTTAATAAACACCCTGTATAGATTATCCTATTGCTTTTAGCTTGCAAAAAAATATGTACATACCCACAATAACACCTTTCTTAATTTAGTAAATAATGCCGACGATAATATGTAAAGTAATAAAAACTTGTATATTACAAATATAAATATAAACATAAATGAAAGGGCAAATTTTAAGGAGCATGATTAGAAAAAAAAATTGAGGATTTTATCAATATTAATACATACCCTTTAATAATTTGATGGAAAATGTAATTATATCAATTATTAGAGAGGTTCTACCCTTTATTTGAGAGTTTTGTTAACGCTACATGTGTATTATAATAGTAACAGCAGATGCTCATACAAATAACGTATTACCTTAAAGTGGTTCTAAAACTTTCTATAATTTGCAATATAATACGTTGAAGAAGTAGTAATAAAACTATCATCAATTTTTCAATCAGTAATTTTAGTACCTATATTTAAATTATATGTTTATCAGGACTATTATGTGTATACGCTTTCATGCATAAATTGAAAATTCTTATTACGGCCCTGATCTGATCAGCGCTTTTCTGTTCAAATGACACCGAAACCGGCTAAATGAGATCACAGTAACTCTGCTGCTTTACATATGCTGTGACTCTAGCTTATTAATATTTCACTGAGATAATTCAATAACATGTTTCATGACAATTTTTTTGTCTAAATATTCAAGCAAAGTAATACAAATTGAATAATCTATTTATTTTAGGGGATGTCAGATGAAATGAAAGATTTACTGGATAGTCTACATGCCCAATGTTTATCCGACTCGGGAGTAAACGAAGGTAGGTTGAACAATAAATTTTGACAAAACCATTCTAAAATTATTTAGGTATTTCTAAGGTTGCAAATTTGTTGCGAAATTTGATAAACGAAATACTAATTTTTTAATTTTTTGATGCAATAATTCGGCAAAGTAAAAGGCCATTGATAAAAGGAGCGCAGATCAGAGTATCAGCGTCTAAAAGAAGCACACGGAACAGCCACTTTAATCCCAGATTAAACACAAAAGTTTTAATATGGCAATATGGCTCGAATGAGGAACTTACTCTAAATATTTGCATTGGAATATCTCCCTCGGATCGTTTTATTTATACCGCGACACTTATTTTCTTTCAGTTACGAGTAGTTGTTCCTATAGCGGTTATACAGTGTGTTCCCTTTTTAAACGTACTAACAGTTGATAGAAGACCTGATTTTGAACAAAAATGTTCATATGAACATGGGTTGTAAATCGCTTCTTAGATATGTAAAAAACAGTAAGTACTAATGAAACCAAATTGGGAATATCTTGTGGCGACATAATGTCCTTTAAAAATTAACTACAAATGACCACAATCATCAGTGGCGTGGTAGAAGGGTAGTCAGTGTCCTTTTCTTAAATAGAGTTTCTACTCCTATGAGTTTTATTGAAATTTCATTAAATTTTTTTATGTCGATGATGAATTTTCAACTACATTTCTGTTCGACGTATAACTGGCATTAACGCAATACTGACCTTTAGTTTGATACATACGCTGGTAATGGATGGTGCAGAATTTTGAATACATCATATTACATAGTTCCTCCCTTGTATTTATTGGAGAAGAGTATTTCTGCTGTTTCATATGACCCTAGGCAAAATAATCAAGGGGATTAATGTCAGGTAACCATTGAAGTCATGACACAGGGCCTCTTCATCGCTTACTAGATCTGTGTGAATTAACTAAAATTTTGTGTAATTTTATATGCTCTAAAAGGGTTTTATACTATTTACTCACAAGCCTTTAATTTTATGACAATTTTGTAATAAAAACTTTTCGTTTAAAACTGATCAGTGATTGATACAATTTCAAAAAATCCATAGGCGTCAAAATTCTCTTTAAAAAAGGGCACTGCCGCTAGATACGTATCGAATAAATTGATCGATGTGAAGCATCAGATCAGAGGCAGACATGCACATGTACATTGGCAGGGATAGTGGAATTACTAAAATGTGAAGTAGTTGAGGTTTCGGCAGCAATAGTAAAAATATCATCTATTAAAAACTGTTTTAGATATGCGCCTGTGTGTAAATGTTGAATTTTTGTTTATGAAATGGGTGTTTACCGATCGCCAGAGACGATTAATCGCGGAATACTTAGGACAACTGTTAATTATTTTCTACAATCGCTTTCCTTATGAGTAAGAAATTATTATTTTGTTAACTTTTGTCGGTACTTATTATTACATATTATATTATATTATATGTAGGTTCTATGTTAAGTTCTATGTGAAACGTTTAGTGTAGAAAAATAGACACTGCCCCATTTTGTCTCATACTGTTATGCAAATACTTGCATGTAGGTATAATCTTATAATATAATGAAAGCTGGTGATGGTTTATGATCCCTATTAATTTTTTGTTTAAAATCAACTTCTCTGCAACAGTTAAAGTTAGAGTGTTTAAAAAGGGAATATTTTGTAAAAAGGCAGTGGCGTCTATAGAGGAATAAGTCCATTATGCCATTTTTTACTAATTTTATTTACATTTGTTGGCATAGGCTTTTATTTAAACAGGTACGTATCGTCAAGTCAAAATATTTTCCAAAAAAGTATATAAAATATAGTCAATTCGTTAAATAGCCGCACTAATCGAAATGCTGTAACACGGACCTTAATAATGTGCGTTTTTACATTAAAATTACATAAATGCTGAAATAATAATATAAATACCTGAAAAGTTATGAAATATTTTATTTAAAAAAGCGATATATGTGTACGAAAAACTACTCAAACGTCAAATATTCATCTTTCTTTTTTATGTGTGAATTCGAGCTTGAATACTGAAATTGATTTATAAAAAAGGTGTGTCATTTATTCCTTACAGAGTTAATATCCAAGGCACAAAAAGGAGAATTTGAGGAAGATGAAAAACTAAAATGTTACATGAGATGCATTTTCGATGAAACAGGGTTGGTGAGTGTTTTTATCTGAAACATCTGTTTAGTAGTTTAGTGTTTATTAATCCAATTTATTATTTTACTGTTATTCATATAACGATGAAAAAACTAAGTAAAGTTGTACAAATTCTTTAATATTATTTAGAAATAAAAGGATATACCTATGTACCTAAGTATTATTAAAAAATATGTTACAATATGTAGAATTAGAATTAATTTTATTATAACAAATATTTGACATACCATGGGTTTTCTAATGAAAACTGAACCTTTATACACTTTATGTATTGGATTTTTAAAATATTTTTATACATTTAGTATTTATTTTAAATTAATAGATATCTTTTCTCTGATCTTGATTTGAAAATTGATGTTTAGTAAGGGATAATTACTAGCAACAACATTTATCTACATCCAAAAAGTAAATTTGACACTGATATTTCAAAAATTTCTTAGTTCCGAAAGATTTCTCTTTTGCTTTTCTTTTCAAGAAATATAACAGATTAATAACAATATTAGTTCCATATATTTCTGAATCTTATATTCGTAGCGTTAATAATTTTGTCAACTAACTACTTTTAAAGCATATCATTTTTTAGTTTGTAATTCAGTAGCGTATTTTCTTCTACTCGTAATAATGTAATATTTGAAAAGTTTCATTTAATTATTTCAGTTTGGAGATGATGGAAAAATAGATGTAGAGGGAATGGTTTCAATGCTACCCGATGAAATAAAAGAACCCTTTGCTCCTACCGTCAGAAAATGTGGAGGTTTAGGTATGGAATAAGTATAAAAAAGTAACAGTTTATTTAACTTTATTAAACTTTTATTTAATTTTATACGTACAAGTATATATGTATATTGACTTACAAAAGGTAAGCAAGCTGTTAAAACACATCTTTTTGAACGAAAATAATGGAACTTTTATTTTTCATGTAGGTGCTTCGTATTCAAGAAACAGAATGTTAAAATCTAACAAAATAATTTTAATAACTTCGTCGCTTTTTAGGGCATTCAGTAAATTTTTGTTCAGACTTTTACATTTTTATTGTAATTTTGGTTTAAAAATAAGAGCACCAACCGAGGATGACCCATTTACTTTCCAATTTTTTTTTGCGCACGTTATATTTGAAGGGTCTTGTTTTTTAAACTCAACATGTCCTACTTTTATTTTTTTACTCTTAACCCATGGTCAATTCAAATATTTTCATTTAAGATTTGGTGTTTTAGATACTGTAGCTTCTTTAAATATAAAAATATAAGAGTTCTTTTTAGTCTTAGACTACGCTTAGAGCTTGATATTTTAAAGAAAACATTGTGTTTTTGGAATCTAATGTTAAGGTTTCAGTTAACTGTTCTTTTAATTCTTAAAATTCTTAACTTACTTAATGCAATTTAAGAAAGGACCCCGCACAAACCTTATGGGAAACTCCGTTCGGTCAATTTTAATGAAATGTTGGGAATAGGTTGTTTTTGTTATGAGGAACAAAAGTCTTCATGGGCCCAAAGTTCGTTAATGGACAGTTTCCGAGATATTCGATGTTAAAAATTGATGATGCGAATGCGTGTCAAGCACGTGTTTAAATGTTTATTAGTCGTGTAAAAGCTCCATGAAGCTTAAAAACTGTATAATACGTATATATTCGTCTAGATAGTGCGTATCCATTCGTTTGTGTGTGTGTGTGTGTGTGTGTGTGCGTGTGCGTGCGTGTGTGTATGTGTATACTTTTCATAAACAAATAAACGAAGAGGCTCGGAGTAATGCTATAGTAATACTTCTATATTCACGTGCAATCTGGTCAGCACAGTTAGCCATTCTTCTCGATCAATTATATATTTTATTTGAGTTATTATAGCGTATGATTGCATCCAAAATAACTTCAGAGTAACACTCAAGATAGAGTAGTCGAAACAACTTTAGAATACAGTTTCTCGCGTGTTTTTAAATCAGTATTTCAAAATATATATTGAAAAATAGCGTGTTTTTAAATATACTACTTATTCTGTTAGAAAAAAATATTCTTCTTTATTTAACATCGTAGTTTAAATATCCAACTGTGAGTAATCTATCGATAGCAGAGAATATTTTATGTGAAGATATTAGAAATATTATACTATTATTTATGAGTACGTCAAATATTTAGAATGTTGAAAAATATCAGTTTCGTTGGACTTATTGTCAAATAGTTCTTAATCGATATTACTGTTCAATTACCATTCACTTGCAGTTTTTGCTGTGTTATACTCCCGATATTGCTTTGATCATTTTTTCACAGGTCTGGTGTGTTCATTTTGTAATTAGCAGTTGAGCTTGTTGCAATATAAATGGCTTTCAGACTACAAATACAATGTTATAGTTGCGATCGGGCTTTCGCCCCGCGAAATATAGTAGATTTAAATAGAGTGGTAATGGTAAATGTAGATGTTTTTGGAGATATTGTTATAAATCGACAAAATGACGCAGGTCTGCCTCCAGCAGTTTTTACACCCGAGACTCGAATATGTAATAATTGCTTCCAAACTATTCGTCGTGAAATTGAAATAGTAGATAGAGCAATTATTATATATTCGAGTATCAGGTGTAACAATTCCTAGAGGGAAACCTGCGTCAATTCGTCGATTTATAGCAAAATCTCCAAAAAGATCTACATTTACCACTCTATTTAAATGTACCATATCCCGATCGCAACTATAACGTTGTATTTGTAATCTGAAAGCCATTTATATTGCAACAAGCTGAAATGCTAATTATAAAATGAACACACCTATGACAAAATGACCAAATCAATATCGGGAGTATAACACCAAAAACTGCAACTGAATGGTAATTGAACAGTAATATCAATTAAGAACTATTTGACAATAAGTCCAACGAAACTGATATTTTTCAACATTCGAAATATTTGAGGTACTCATAAATAATAGTATAATATTTCTAATATCTTCACATTAAAATATTCTCTGCTATCGATATCGATAGATTACTCACAGTTGGATATCTAAACTATGATGTTAAATAAAGAAGAATATTTTTTTCTAATAGAATAAGTATATTTAAAATCACCCTATTTTTCGATATATATTTTGATATACAGATTTAAAAACACGCGAGAAACTGTACCCTAAAGTTGTTTCGACTACTCTATCTTGGGTGTTACTTTGGATACAATCATTAGATTGTTTTCACACGCACTAGCACGCGCACGCACACGCACACACATACGAATGGATACGCACTATCTAGACGAATATATACGTATTATACAGATTTTAAGCTTCATGGAGCTTTTGCGCGACTAATAAGCATTTAAACAAGTGTTTGACACGCATTCGCATTATCAACTTTTATCGAATATCTCGGAAACTGTCCATTAGCGAACTTTGGGCCCATGAAGACTTTTGTTCCTCATAACAAGAACAACCTGTTCCCAAAATTTTATTAAAATCGACCGAACGGAATTTCCCATAAGGTTTGTGCGGGGTCCTTTGAATAACGTAATAATAAGGTTTTAAGTTAACTTCATTTCAATGTTGGAAAAACAAGACAAATGTAAAAAAATATTGTTAAAAATGTATACCAGTGTATTTTAATTTGTTTACAAACAAATTAAAATGTAAATCAGAAGAAATTAATAAAAATTAACCAGAATTGTATATAAAATTCTATAAGAGTGTATTGTAATGTCTAGGCATTAAGTAATGGAGACATAAAATAATTGTATTTTAATGTTAATTTGGCTGTAAGAAATATATCAGAAATGGTATCATTCAACAACATCTTTGTCAAACTTACAGATTGCCCCAAGGATGCATATTAGTTCCATTTTTATTGACCTACTATTTTCCAACGCCAAAATCAAAGTACATCAATTGGATGATGACTACGTCATCTACGTTTAAGGAAAAAAGTAGATGAGTGCCATCAATTATTTCACTAACACAAGGAAGAAAAAAAATGTTTTAAAAAATCATCTATTTGCGGTTTTACAGGATCCCATTTCCAACAACATATTTCTATATATTTATCCCACCTTAACATCAAATAAAAGACATCTACCAAATCCTGACATATACCTTGGTTTAGGATTAGATTAGAAATTGACCTGAAAAATTATATCAATTTGATTTACAAAAGAAGCCAGAGTGCTTTCAGCGTCCTACGGGTATTTGGCTACAAACAATGGAGAGCTGACCCCAATATATGTATGCCTTTTATTCTATCGGTCATTAATTAGATCTATTTGTAAATATGGTTACATCTTTTATAAATTAGCTTATTAACTGATATTAGTAGATAGTATATTCCATTGAATATACTGAATATACTTGCAAGAAATTGAACAAATCAAGAAGCTAACCTATTCGACTATCTGTTGGTCATCCCGAATTATCCCAATTAATATTACGGAATCAGAAAGTACTAAACTATTATTACGTCTCAAAAGAGAAAATGTTAAGCGTAGACTTTTGTTAAAAAGCGTGACAAGAAATAATGAACTATTAATTTGGTGGGATGTATAATGATAACTACAAAATCTCAGTATAAACTTCCGTCAAAAGCGAGCATATTTATTGCAGAACTTACAGTTTTTAAAGAAGTAATCAGATGCTGCAACAATACGATCTCAATCATCACTTCGATATATTCACATACAGTAGAGGTGTCGCACTGTCAATAAAAAATAGCAATTCAACAGCAAAGAACAATCACGTAATAATTGATATTCTAAGTATGTACAACGATCTATTATTACGGAATAAAAGCCTGGAAGTAATAGGTCATGTAAGTAAGAATAATACAAAGTTAATGTGTAGATAAACTAGCAAAAGAGGCAACGTAAGAAGAAATTCAGTTTCTAATTTTACAATCCCGAATATGGATATGAAAAACACATTAAGGAGAAGTTAAAGACCAAATGGTACCTCGATTACGCAGCAGGAGAGAGCCACAAAAAATTTCAGTCTCAAATCAAAAGCAAATCATGTTTCGCAGCTGAAATTAATCATCCCTTTGCACGCACAATCAGTTGGGTGATGAGCTTCCATTGTTTATGCGGAGAATATAAATTTAAAATGAAACTTACTTTTTCTGCTGGAGAAATTAATAATCTATTACAATGCTTAATGGAATACATCTCGTTAAAGAATTCATAGGTGGACGATCTTTCTAGTATGTAAATTGATCAATATTGAGATACTGTTACCTACTGACATCTCTAACTTTTTATTATTATGAAACCTACCTACATACCTACACAAAATTTTACATAATTTTTGAAAATACAATTTTAAAATAGCATAACCAATCACTGAAAAATTAATAATAATAACAAAAATACAACTAATAGCAAGAAAAAAAAGATCTTCATTGTTTTAAATGAAGATGATATTATTTTATTTTATTTTTACCTAAAAAACATACTGATATATAGAAAAATATATTCATGTTTGATCACACCTTTGCACAGAGTGCCTGCCTATGTTTGTTTTCTCTGTATATAAATAAATAATAAAGAAACAGTACAAATTTTCTAAAAATGTGATTGTGGATTGTTTTTCGAATGCGAAAAACGTAAATTTTCGATAAATGTATTGGTCAAAGACATATTATGTACTCCTAGAAAAATAAGTCTGTTTGTACATTGTACTATCATACTCTTGCTCTATTATTTTATTTATATTTTTAGAATGATCAGGACAAGACAAGGAGTTGGCTATTCGGTCTAGATTTAATGCCATTACAGAAACATTTACGCAAGGGATCAATACCATTTATATAAAGAAATTACAGTAAACTAAGCTAAGGCTAAGTAAACTTAGCCTTATATAAATCAAAATAAAGGAATGTTTGATCAGAAAAACAATACCGAAAGTGTACACAGGAAAAATTTCAGAGGATCCGTAAAACAAACTTTTCCTTTCACTTCTAAGTTTTTAATCAAAATTTCATAAGAAATATGTCGGCATAAGGTAATAGTCTGTAAAAAATTTCAACGAATTATTTAAAAAAATATATTAATACAGTTATTAATAACAATATTTATACAAATTGTATTTATGACATCTTATATCTTAAAAGAGAAGCGTGTAAATAAAAAATAGCATAAAGAAAGTCTCATTACTTTCATTAAAAGAATCCATGATTAACGGCTTGACTTACTTTTTTTTAACACCCTGTAAAGTCGTTGGTATATTATAGTTTCCCTACTGATCTCATAAATTTCTTCCTTCTTTTTCCTCAGAAATATTACACCTTTTCTATATCTAAAGAAAAAGACAAACTACTTTTGTATCAAATTTGATTTGATGGTAGGTATACATTATACACGAAATAATGCCACAAAGAGTTTGTCTTATTTTGAGTTATATTAGATTTAGTTTGAAAGGTTATTTTTTTTTTAGTGTCAGGAAGCCCTTGTGAACAATCTTTTAAGATGTACAAATGTTGTTTTGATGAAGCACCACAAGTAAGTTATGAGTATTATTAAACTTAAGTATTTAAACGTAACACTGTACAGAAAAAAGTTTGGTTATTTTTTTTAAATCTAAGATGCCAATTGATTAATTCAATTATAATTTGTTCAATTTAAGCTATATTTTATATGAAAAGACTTTTAAAGAAAATATACAAATATATTGAAATAATTTTTCAAGAACGTCCAAGGAGTTTACTTTAATTAACTGATTTTATGTTAACAATGAAGATGGTCTGGTGAAGAAAATGTATAAGTTGAAAAGTTATGTCATAGTCTTAAGCATATTGTCCCTCTTATCACGCAGGGGCGTATAATCCAAGAAATGGATATACACATACGCCTCTACGTGATAATAGGGACGATATTATTTTGAAAATATAGTATACAGAATAAGAAAAGATGCCTAAATCTAAAGATTTTTTTGTGTCCAGAGGGCATATCTATATAAACATTTCAATTTTTCCTGCTGTTAGCCACTACGAAATATCTCAGAGGGTATGAACCACCCCTCAGATAATGATCTGAGGGGTGGTTCAGGGCGGGCCTAAGGATTCCGACAATCTTATTTAAATGGGAATAAATAAGATAAAAATGTTTTCTGTACATGTATTTTAAAACAATTAATAATATATTTCTGTTTCAGTATTACTTCCTCCCATAACGTCGAAGTGATAGTATCATAATGCATTTGAATATGGACTGTACGATTATAGAACTATTAAATGTGATTTAGTTTTAAGTGACACCATAATATTAATAAAATAATGGGAATATTGTTGATGTTTTATTTCTTATACAATAATGTAATGTCTTGGGTATATTTATGGGTGCATTATAATCTTTACGACCATTGTGTAGGCATTGATTTAACTCTGTGAATACACAGATGCATTTTAGGTTGCGGTTACTTTGGAGTAATATTAGTTATTTTTTATATTTTTGAACGATTTCTTTTTTAAGTTAATATTATTTTAAATACAGATTTGTCTTGTATTTTAAAGAAGATTAATTTTCTTGTAAATAAATATAAAAGACTACAGTTTAAATTAAAAAATCTGACAAAACCATTTAAGTGATATGATTTGGCAATTTGCGATTAATTAGTTAAATGCTTAAACACTTCGCGAATAAAATATTATGAAATTATTATTGCAAAAACTTATTAATATTTATTGCGTAATTATAATTACATTTTATCTTTTTAAATGACATCGTTTTTGCTAATATTGTTTTGCTGGTAAATAATTGTTATTAAATTACATCTAGTTTTAAAATTTATTTTGCTTCATGATTTTTTTGTCTTATAATTTATTATTACTTCTCTACATTTTTAAGATGTAAAGGTTAAATTAGATTAGAATATAATAGAAAACATAATTTGTTAAGCAACATTTATTTACAAATTTGTAGAATGGCAATGTGAACAAAATTTATCTCACAGTCAGTTGCTTAAAGCTCCGTTTACACGCTATTCCACAGTTGCCACTGTTGCCAGTCTGAAAAGAATAATTATTACTAAGAGATCCGAATAATAATTTATTTAGAAGTTATCGTCATATCCTTTATGATTTTATACTTAAAGAAATTTGATTTTTGTACTGTTACAGATTTTCGAGATAACCTCTTAGATAGCGGTTACACTGGAAGTAAAAACGAAAAATAGTTTATATGAATAGTATATTATGTAATTTGGTTGGTTGGGAGTGGTTAATTTTATTTTGATATTTATTTATTTATTTTTATTATATTATAATTATTATTTAATTTGGTGATTAATTTTGTTTCTGGTGTGTAAATTTTGTGTGTGTATAAGAATTAATTATCCGTTTGGGCGCCTTTTTTTATGTAAAATGTCATTTGGGTGTATTTATATCTAATTTTCCATTGAGTGTAGGTTCTGATAAGAAATTTTAATAATAATAATGACAAACATAGACGAACTAGACTTTCTTACCTTATCATTGCTAACATCGCCTCCGGCAGCTTTACTTTGTATAAATAATGTTCACAGTGTAGACAGGATTTTATTAGTGTAGATAGGAATGTTCATTTTCTACACTGTCCCTCAAGAAAAAACACTTTATTTTATCAATAGCATGAGTCCTTACCTCATAGGGGCGGTTCTATGCTCTTTTAATTAACCTTTACTATTTAATTTTGGGTAAGAAACATTGAATAAAAGCAAAATTGGAAATATTTACACAAGATGACATTTATTACTTATTTATCTTTCAATTTCGAACAATATTTTTATGAACACAGAAACTAGAATATTTTTTTTATATACTTTTACATGAATAATTGTCTGAGAAATGCCTTATTCTACCTATCATAATTGAGAAAATGTTTGGTTAACCAATTATCATTATTTTAAACGTTTTTCAAACAAATTAACTTATACTACGAACATTTGAAATTAAACTAATACTTAAATTATAGAATGTTCAAAAATGTCAATTTAAACTTTAATCACTGACATTGTTTATAGTTTGTAACGGGTTTTGTATTTCACAAATAGCTTTTATAGTTCGAATTTGCAACACTTTATGGCATGGAGAAAACTCTTATGCAACTGGACTTACTTGGTTTCGTTCTGGCTGGCAATTTGCGGTCGTCTCTATAACCTCACTTTATTGTTGTCGTTTTCTGCTATTCTCGTGCGTTGAAGATGGCTGTTGGGTCTGTGTAGAGTGCTTCCTGGTGTTTTTGATGTTGTTTGGGGAGCCACAGGACAACATGCACCCCTCACCAGTCTCTAGAATCTCCTTCCGCCTCTCTCTCAGCTTGTTGACTTCTCTCGATGTTTTTTTGTTTTTCCGGTACCAGGTAAATTCACTGATTTGTTCTTTCGCCATTGGTTGCTCGTATCCCTGTTATCATTTTCTAACTGCGCAATTTCTCCAGCATGTTGCGATGAATTTGATTTTAATTAACTTACGGCGTAATTTATATTTTATAACTGCGTAGTAGATTTTATACGTCTTAATACTAATTTACAAGAAATTTTTATATGATATTTTGCATGACAAATTTTTTATAAGAAACTTCTAGCCTATGTGTTTCTGATGTTATAATATTTGAACTTTCTTTTGTACTAGATTATTTAACATTAATTTACTCATAAAATCTCTAAATTGGCCCTTCTTGTGGCATTGTCTTTTACTTTAATGCTTCTACTTCGTACCCAAAATTTATTTTCTTGACATGCTTATCATTAAAATGTATTATTTAAAATTTTGACTGATAATGTTTTAGGTTTATATGAAATAACTATGAAATGAGCTTTTTATTTTACTTTAAAAGTACTTTGTCTTTATTTTATTCTACATTATAATTTCATGAAAATTTTCTATGCTATTTCTCGGTGTTGTGTCTTGAGATACAGTGTGTTCATTTCAATATTTATATGCATAGTTCCACTGTTTGCGAATTTTTGATACGGGCAAAATAGATCATTTTCATTAGTTTAGTTCGTGTGGATAGAACATTTATGATAGGTAATCACGGGGAAAGAAAATGTGCCTAAATAGCTTGGTATTTGGTGTAAAATCAGTCCCATTACAGAAACACACACTTATTATTGTATTATGTCGTAAAATGAGGTCATCACATTTTCAAAAATTTTATTTTACTTAATAAAAAATAAACGTTCTCCTATGTTTTTGTATTCAATATAACTGTTGTAACAATTTGTTAAGAATTCATATTATTTCGTAGGGATAGATTCTCTTATGAATTCGCAAATAGTTAACGCCACAAAATTTGTTTTGATTTTAATCATTATACAGGGTGTCTGCGAAAGGTTCGGAAATCTCGAAGCTGGAGATACTGGTGGACAAAATAAGTCGATTGAGCCAAATATGCAAATGTTGCTGGTTTCAATGTTTGAGTTTTGTTTTGAAATTACTCAATAATTTTGAAAACTGTCAGAATATGAATTAAAATATTCACACAATTATGTTTTTTGACATGAGAAATAAGAATTTGTAACTAATTTTGTCGTTACCTGTATAGCCTATATCTATTGGTTATCGAGATATTTACACATACAAATTTCAATGCATTTCTTTTTTAAGCAACTTTTAATCCTTAAACTAATGCGACTTGACAACAAGTGTATGAACCAAACTATTTATAGATTTCTAGAAAACAACTTAAAAGGAAAGTAAAACATAAATCGTTTAAACAGAAAAAATTGGAAATTTAAGAAATATCTGCTTAGGACTAAAAATTTACTAATTACTATGAAAATTGTTCTGAAAAAGCACCGCCATTATGACCAATACCTTGATTTCCTGAATAATGTTTTGGATTGTTTTGTACAGAAACTCTAGTTCAATTATCGTAATTTTTACATAGAAAATCAACATCAATTTGTAGTAGTGTAAAGTAGTAGCAGTAGTAGCAGAACGTTCATTAGTCCAACACGAACAAACCCAATTACAGGACACTACAGAAATAATACATACAAGTAAAATGTTAAAATGTAAAATTAAAAACAAAGTTAAACACACATTATCTAAGATAAAGTAAGTACAATAATACAAAGAGCATACAAAAAGCACACTTAAAAAATAAAATATAAAAAGTTATAAGCGCAGATTGTAGGCAGTTTTTAGCAGCTGTTGTAAACTTGATACATTTATATCACACATATCATATTATACACAGGTGATTTTAACATAAGGTTAGTTCTAACAAATTGGCAATAAAATATTGCATGAGATCTGATTGACAATCGCGGACCAAGAAATTAAACTGAGAAAGAATACAGTGCGTCCCAGAAGTAACGCAAAAAATTCTTATTTTATTTTGTGTTGACAAAACCGCTAAAACACGTCAATTAGTAAATAGGAATTGTCGTTTTGTCACTTTGGTTAAACCTTTTTTGCGCTGTGTTTCATAAACCTATGACGTCATCGACATTTTTTTTAAATAGCACTACCTAATTTTTTAAGCATAAATGGATAGTCCTTTTGAAGGTAAATGCGTCGATATAGGGTTTGGCCTACTTTACTTTGACAGGTGTGAAAAAAAAGCCAACGATTGGAATGAATATGGTTTGAATTAATAACAAAATTAAGTATCACAAACTTATGCGCGAACAGTGCTATAAGAAAAAATGTCTTTTGGTTGATTGTAGGTACATGTTTTTATGTAGATTGGGTAGGTACACCCGATCACAGTGGCTATGTAGGCATTGTTTTGAAGACGACAGTTAGCGAATGCAATAGTGCCACATATCATTGTGACAGTTACAAATAATGTACAGTATGCAGATTAGTACGCAAATTTGAAGACGCTCGTAATGTTAGAGATCTGTCTAGATCTGGAACGCCAACGACAGTGATAGAAAACGCCAACATATCAATACATAAAAACGTACCTACAATTAACCAAAACACAAAACATCCATAAATTTCCATTTTTTGCTGTGGCACTGTTCTCGCATCAGTTTATGATACCTACTTATGTTGTTATTTTAAACCATGTCCATTCCAGTCATTGGCCTTTTTTTCGCTCTAGTCAAAGTAAAGTAGGTCAAACCCTATATCGACGTATTTCTCTTCAAAAGGACTATCCATTTATGCTTATAAAATTAGGTAGTGCTATTTAAAAAATGTCGATGACGTCATAGGTTTATGAAACATAGCGCAAAAAAGGTTTAAGCAACGTGACAAAATGACAATTCCTATTTACTAATTGACGTGTTTTAGCGGTTTTGTGAAAACGCAATACAAAATAAAATACGAATTTTTTGCGTTACTTCTGGGA